GCTGGGATGCCAGATGTGTGTACAACCTCTTCTTAGGGTGATACTGGAGACTTGGTTCTATTATTGGAGTGGGTTGAGGGGAGAAGGCAGGAGAGGTGTCTGCTTCTTCCTTGATCTGTCGGGTGGATCGCAGCCAGCTCCTAGCTGCCTGCTAAATTAGAAGCCTGGCCTTCAGGTGGCAGCTTTTAAAGTATTTAGACAAACTCCTTTCAAGAAAAGATAGGAGATAGGCATTTTTTGTCTGTTCCCTCTGCCATGAGCCCTGGGGGGATAGCCAGTTAAGAATGGCTTCTTTGCTTGCTACAGTCCTGTGGGACTCATGAATGGAAGCCTTTTTGGCTATCAGAGCCAGGCTATCAGATCTATCAGATCAGAGACCTGTCCCTTTGGCAGCAGCCATATAAAAGCTGGGATGCAGACACATGCACAAGCTCTTTCCAGGGAGATACTAGTGGCCTGTAGCAGATTGGAGGGAGAAGGTGGGAGAGATGTCTTCTGGATGCTCCAGTCCTTGGGGAGGATTGCAGCCAGCCCCTAGTACCTGCTAAATTAAAAGCCTGGCCAGTAGCTTTCAAAGTATGCAAAAAAACCCACTTTCATAGAAAGACTGGGAGATGGATGATTTTGCCTGCTCCCTCTGTGCTTAGCCTGGGGGTATACAGCCTTCGCGAGTGCTTGTGTACCTGTTAAGAAATGCTTCTTTGTTTACTAGAGTTTCGTAGGTCTCATGGACACAAGCATCATTGGTTTTCAGAGGTAGGAGTTTTGGGAACCAGTCTGTCTGGTGGGACTCTTAACAGTTGGGGTGCTAGAAGTGGGGTCCAAACCCTTCCCTCCTCCAGAAGCTGGGAGTTGTGAGTTCCCTCCCAATTGTTTCTCACTGAGCCAGGGTGGGGTTTAAGGTGAGAGTCCCTCTTAGCTTTTCCTACCCATATTTTCTCATTCTTCTGACACGTAGGAGTCACTCAGCTAGTTTCTGCATCTCTTTCAGAGAGAATTGCTCTGTGTGTAGCTGTACATTTGATGTGTCTGTGGGATGAGGGGAGCTCAGGAGCCTCCTCTGTTACCATCTTGCAGATATTCCTCCTCACCCATTCTTGTAGGGTGCTTTTCCAGCTTCATGGTGAGGAGGGAAGTGTGGGGATGAAGGAGGGAGTTGTCTGTCATTCATTCAACAGACATTTAATGAGTACCTACTATGTGCTAGGTTCTGGGGGTTATAAAGACAAAACAGGTACAAACCTTGCACTAACAAGCTCAAAATCTTAGTGAAGAAACAGAGAAACAATATTTCAGTGTGATGAATGTATAACAGAAGTATGGACAGTTGTCCGAGGGCTTAGAGGAGGTAGTGGGGTGGGCAGGCAGCTTTAGGAAGGAGGTGACATATGATCTGGGTCTTGAAGGTTGAGTAGGAGCTTGGTAGGGAGGGATAGGCAAGCTCCTCTTAGACATGGTAGATTTATTATTTAGGGAGAGCAGTCACTGTTCCCAAACTACCTTGATTAGGATTAGCCACTGAAAATGATTTTCTGTGTGGCTTTAGATAGCACCATTAAAAATCTGGAAGTCTCAGTTTGCCTTCCTGTTGAAGAGGGAGACTCACATCAACTATTTGGAACCACTGGGAGAATGAATCGATTCAGTGTGGTTTGCAAGAGCAAGTGTTTACTTATTAGAAAGCCTCCAGGGGGACTATGTGGAAGGAGACGGAACACGGGGAGGAGAACACCAGGCAAGAACAAGAGGAAGCAAATGGAACTGGACTCTCATTAGCCAGTGATGGATTGATCTTCTGCCACGGATTTCCCAAACTCCCAGCAGTTTCAACATAAGGCTTGTTCAATATTTTAAAACCAATTTAAAACCAATTTTTGAGTTTGCTTTCTTTAAAAAAATTATTGCATTAATCAAAAAATGCATTAAGTTTAGGGTCAAGCAGCCTAACTGATGGAAAAGGCCTGATTGGGCCCTGGGAGACATGGGCTTGCCTGGCTGGATAATGTCGTATCAAAGATCAGAAAGCTCTCAGCTTTAAGGGGAGAACAGTGGAGAGGAGCCAGAAATGCTGAAAGGGAAAGCCTTACAAGTGAACTGAATTGAAAGGAAATGTGAAGAGGGCTAATGAGGGTATTTTGTTAGTATTAGCAAAATTCAGACAAGAGGATGCATCTGAAGCCTTCAGTTCTGGGGGGTGAGGAGGGCTGTAATTAGATTTTTATTGTTAGATGTGTGGGGTGCCGTCCTTTCAGAGATTTCAGGTCAGTGAATTGCAGAGGTCATCCACCTGAGATTACTGCCATTTGAGAGGAATGCAGGGAACAGGAAATAAACTGGCTCTATTAAAATAAAAACCCTTTATTCTCTTACCAAATGGAAGTGGGTCTTTTAGTTTGATGAACTAGCTTGTTTCGTTCATCCCTTTTCATGTCCAAGAGTAGCCATGGTTGAAATAAGGAAACTTTGGAGACTTGGTAAATTAGCCTATCGAGAATATACTGGTTATTCTGTATTCTTTGCCCTCCTCTGCTCTGCACCTGGAAGGCTGAATCCATGGGCTGTGTCCCTAGGATCCCTTGTGGCTGGTGTTCTCTTGGGTGTGGCCAATGGAGACATTAGGAAGAGATCAGAGGGTGGGAGAGAGATGTCAAGTTGTTCATCCTCACTCCCTTCCTGCTTTGGGCCCACTTTTGGCAATGCTGGACCCTCCATGATTACATCTCCTGTCACGAGGCCCCACCCCCACAGCCCCAGCTCAGGGGGTTATTCTCTGTGCAAAGCCATTTCCTCCTCTTGTCCTTTCAGGCCTAGGGTGGTCATGGCCCCCCCGGATGCTGGACTCCGAGGCCCTCCACATTGTTGTGGGTTCTTGTGACCCTACCCCACCGTGGTACATCTTCCCTTCAATTAAAATCTCTTCACGCGCCCATCTGAGTAGGATTCTCTCTCCCGTGGAACCCTGAATGAATCAGAGACTTAGGAAACATGGCAGAAAAAACCCCCAAGTAGTTGCCTTCTGTTCTCAGGCAGTGGACCAGCAGACTTTTCCGGTTTGGTTGGTCAATTTGCTTTGTTTTCAAATAAGAGGAATATGAGGTTGGCCCAGAAATCAGGAGCTTGAGGCAGGAAGAAGCCTCATTTGAGGGAGGTCTTGTTGTAGGGCTGTCTCTCCTTGAATTCTTTCTTTAATAACCTTGTCCTGAATTAACCATTCCTCTGCTAGAATGTTCTTTATCATGCCTATCCTGCTGTGATCTTGAAAAACTCTGACCCACCTTCCATGACTTCCAGGGAAGTGTTATACAAAGCTATATATTTGCTAAACGTTGGTTTAGCATATTACTATCATTATTTATTTTCCTATAAGTCTCCCCTATAGCTCTCCTATGAGCCTCTGAAGAGAAATATACTTATCTGCATTTTTCCAGCAGGATGCCTGGCCCATACAAATGCTCCATTTAATGTCTGCTAATTGATGGTGTTTGCAGAAAAGGCTCCTGGGTACTGGGCATCTCTGCTTAAGGCCAGCTCTAACTTTCTTTCTCCCATTGTTCTGAATTGAATATTAAGGTTTTAACGACTTTTTTTTTTTTTTTTTAATTTGGGATACCTCAGTCTTTAACACCAAGGTTGGTTGTTTCCTCTTGAATGAGGAATGAAGGGGATTACTGGGTGGGTCAGGTGTCTAGACAGCTTTAGGTTAAGCAATGCTCTTCTTCACCTTACTGCTATTGTTTTCAAATGAAAAGATGTTAGGGTATCACTTCTTGGAAGCCTTTGTCCATGTTTGTGATCATAAGGGCAGAGGGATGTAAGTTTCTAGACCAACCCCATTTCCCGGAGCCCCAGGCTTTACCCTTCTGGGCTACAGTGATCCTGAAGCGGGGGTGGGGGGGTCTCAGGGTCATTACTATTCCTGACATCAGTACCCAGTGAGCTCCCATTTGAAAGTTCCTGAGTGAAAATAAAATCAACAGAAAGAGCACTTGCTGCCTTTGCTATAGACATGGCAATTAATTCCTAAATCTCCCAATATGCTCATGGCCAATATTTTAGGAGCTGATGAGAAAACCTGAATTCACTAATTATGTTTATTTAGTTATGCTAATACTGAGCAAATACATCCACAGAATACCTTACAGGGATACAATTCCTTCTGCTCTGATTTTAGAGCATTCAGATATTTAAAATTCTCTCCTGTAAAATTAAAATGTTCTGGAATTTCTATGTCTATTTATGAGGTTCCTGTCCATAAAATGACTAAAGGATTTATCTGAGTAGATTTGTTGTTTAAACCCTGTTAACATCTCTATCAGGAGAAAAATAATGAGTACATTCATCAGCTCTGCTGACGTTTTTACTCCTTTCCCCTAAGGTTTGGTTGATCATAATTAATAAATAAGAGAAAACATATTTGCATTTCCCTAAGCCTGCTACAGCACATCAGAGAGCAAGGCTCAGTAAACACGTTCTTTACCTAATCAAGACTGGAATATGGTTGAGCAAAGTTCATGATTCTGATATATATCATAACAGTGATATCCTTGCATCATACAATACTTCTATCATTTCATTCATGGAGATAGTTTTCACCAAAGATTCTAAGCAAAGGCACTTTTGAAAAAAATAAATGCAGAGTCAGTAGTATTGATTTCTCTGATTTAGAGGTTGTTAAATTGTTTTCTTTCTCCTCTAAAGACTCCTCTGATCAAGGTATGTTCTTATCCCTATTCCATATACCTCTGGGGAAAAACTACCATGGAAGTACTGACACATCCCAAATGGCCATTGGGACATCTATAGCTCTACCCTGAGGACGGGATTGATTCTGGAAGGACTGTGATGGAGGAGAATCCACAGACAGCCCTATTCCCACGGCTGGAGGTCACCAGTCTATTCCTGTTTGTTCGGAGTGGAACCCTCAGTGACCTCCAGGAAACAGCTCTTGTCTCCCACCCATATCCCGAACCCGGCTTTGAGGAAGGCAGAGGGCACTTTACCTGAGTGACTGCTCCTGAGGCTTCAAATAGGGCGTTGCATTCACCTTCGTGGTACGCTTCCTTACAGTCCCGGCAGAAGACGAACTGCAGCAGAAAACACACATGTTAGAGATGGGCTTGCTGGTGCATTTGGCCAGAATGTGTTTTTCCTTTTCTAAGCTCATTATATTTCTGCCTCTGACTTGGGTGATGGTTTCTGTGCCACATTACTTTTTGCAAAGAGAAATAAAATTATATTTTGATGGAATTGTTCACTCTTTTCTAAAGAATGTTTCAAGCATTCTAGCAGGGTTTCAAAGAGGAATGAGTCACATTTTCTTTCTTCAAGATGTTTCTAGTCTAGCAGAAGAAACAGTAATGCAAATAAATACCTGTAGTAAAGTGTTATTGGTGTTAGAATATGAAGAAAACAATTTCATTCAAGAATTTCAAATTGAATATTTGTTTACATAGAGGATTTATATGTCCATGTTAACTGACTTATTTTTGTATTGAAAGCCTGTCATGGAAAGAAGAACTGGGCTGTTATGGGCTGAATTGCGTGCCCCACAAATTCATATGTTGAAGTGTTTTTCTTTTGCTCAAAATATAAATTTTTTTTATTTTTATTTTTTATTGAGGCATAATTGATGTACAGCATTACATTAGTTTCAGTTGTACAACATAATGATTCGATATTTGTATATATTGTGAAATGATCAACACAATAAGTCTAATTAACATCAGTCACCATACATAGTTACAGAATATTTTTTTTCTTGTTATGAGAACTTTTAAGTTCTACTCTATTAGCTACTTTCAAATATGCAATATAGTATTATTAACTATAGTTACCATGCTGTATATTACATCCTTATGAGTTATTTATTTTATAACTGGAAGTTTGCACCTTTTAACGTTCTTCACCCATTTCACCCACTCCCCATCCCCTGCCTCTGGAAACCAAATATCTATTCTCTGTACCTATGAGCTTGGTTTTTAGTTTTCATTTTTTTTTTTTTAGATTCTACACATAAGTAAGATCATATGGTATTTGTCTTTCTCTGTCTGACTTATTTCACTTAGCATAGTGTCCTCAAGGTCCATCCATGTTGTTGCAAATGGCGAGATTTCATTCTTTTGTATGGTTGAATAATATTCCATTGTGTATAATATACATATTATATATGCCATATATATATATGCCACATTTTTTTTATCCATATCTTGGCTATTGTAAATAATGCTGCAATGAACAAGGGAGTGCATATATGTTTTTGAGTTAGAGTTTTCATTTTCTTTGGATAAATACCCAGAAGTGTAATTCCTGGATCATATTGTAGTTCTAATTTTTTTTTTTTTGAGGAAGATTGGCCCTGAGCTAACATCTGTTGCCAATCTTCCTCTTTTTCTTTTTTCTCCTCAAAGCCCCAGTACATAGTTGTATACCCTAGTTGTAGGTCCTTCCAGTTTTTCTATGTGGGACGTCACCACAGCACGGCTTGGTGAGCGGTGAGTAGGTCCGTGCCCAGGATCCAAACCGGCAAACCCCAGGCTGCCGAAGTGGAATGCATGAACTTAACTGCTATACCATTGGGCTGGCCATTATTTTTAATTTTTTGAGGAACCTCCCTACTGTTTTCCATAGTGGCTGCACCAAGTTGCATTCCCACCAACAATGAACAAAGGTTCCCTTTTCTCCACATCCTCACCAACTCATGTTGTTATGTTTTTGATAATAGCCATTCTAACAGATGTGAGATCATATCTCATTGTGGTTTTAACTTGTATTTCCCTGATGATTAGTGATGTTGAGCATCTTTTCATGTACCTGTTGGCCATCTGAATGTCCTTGGAAAAATGTCTGTTCAGATCCTCTCCCCAGTTTTTAATCAAATTGTATGGTTTTTTGCTATTGAGTTGTATGAGTTCTTCATATATTTTGGATATTAACCCCTTATCAGATATATGATTTGCAAATATTTTCTCCCACTCAGCCTTTCTAGGTTGCCTTTCCACTTTGTTGATGATTTCCTTTGCTGTGTAGAATCTTGTTAGTTTGATGTAGTCCCACTTGTTTACTTTTGCTTTTGTTTCCCTTGCTTTTCATGTCAAATCCAAAAAAATCATCATCAAGACCAATGTCAAGGAGGTTACTGTCTATGTTTTCTTCTAGGAGTTTTACGATTTCAGGTCTCAAATTCAAGTTTTTAATCCATTTTAAGTGAATTTTTGTGTATGGTATAAGAGCGTAGTCTAGTTTCATTCTTTTGTATATGGCTGTTCAGTTTTCCCAACATCATTTTTGAAGAGATTTTTCTTTCCCCATTATATATTATTCATTCTTTTGTTGTAAATTAATTGACCACACACGCATGGGTTAATATCTGGGCTCTCTATTTTGTTCCATTGATCTATGTGTCTGTTTTCATGCCAATACCATACTGTTTTGATTACTATAGCTTTGTAATATAGTTTGAAATTGGGAAGTGTGGTGCCTCCAGCTTTGTTATTCTTTCCCAAAATTGCTTTTACTATTTGGGGTTTTTTGTGGTTCCATATAAATTTTAGGATTGTTTGTTCTATTTCTGTAAAAAATGCCATTGAAATTTTGATAGGGATTGCACTGAATCTGTAGATTGCTTTGGGTAAGATGGACATTTTAACTATTAATTCTTCCAATCCATGAGCATGAAATATATTTCCTTTTATATATGTCTTCTTCAATTTCTTTCATCAATGTCTTATAGTTTTCAGTGTACAGGTCTTTCACTTTATAATGGAAAAACTCAGTTTTTTCCTTCGCATGTAGGAAAAAAATCAGTTCTACTGTGTTTTTCTCCAATGAGTCTCCTTTACTACTCACACAGAACACTACTTCTGATGCTCTGGTCACTGAATGTGTGTGGGTTTTCCCCACAACAAGCCCATCTCTGACACCAGCTGGGTGTCCTACAATTTAACTCAATTCTATCACTATCTACCCAGAGATGGCATCCGATCTTACAGGTAAGGGCTCAGTCCCACAAGGCTTGCCCCCCCAACCCCAACTTTAGACACCAGTTGCAAGTTCTAGTTATCACCTGTGCTTCTGACTGATGGGCTACAGATTGAAGGTTCCAATGACCCCCTCCTCAGTTTCGATTAATTTGCTAGAGTGGCTCACAGAACTCAGGGAAACACTTACGTTCACCAGCTTATTAAAGGACATGGTCAAGGATACAGATGAACAGCCAGATGAAGGGATACACAGAGAGAGGTCTGGGAGGGTCTCAAGTACAGGAACTTCTCTTTCCATGGACTTGGGGTACGTCACCCTCCCAGTGGGGATGTGTTCGCCAATCTGGAAGCTCTCTGAACCCTGTACTATTGAGATTTTATGGTGGCGTCCTCACGTAGGCATGATCAATTATTAACTCTGTATCTAGCCCCTCTCCACTCCCTGGAGGATGAGGGGTGGGGCTGCAAATTCTAAGCTTCTAATCATGGCTTAATCTTTCTGGTGACTAGCCCCCATCCAGGAGCCATTCAGGAGCCCATCCAGAGTCAACAGAACAAAAGATGCTCCTGGTGCTCTTATCATTTAGGAATTTACAAGGGTTCCTGTGCCAGGAACTGGGGGCAGGGACCAATATACATTTTCTATTATCTCACACACCTCCTCGGTTACATTTACTCCTAGGTATTTTATTCTTTTCGATACAATTGTAAATGGGATTTTTTTCCCCTTAATTTCTCTTTCTGATAGTTTGTTATTAGTGTATAGAAGACAACAGATTTCTGCATATTGAATTTGAATCCTGCAATTTTACTGAATTCATTTACTAGTTCTAACAGTTTTTTGGCGGAGTCTTTAGGGTTTTCTATATATACTATCATGTCATCTTCAAATAGTGACAGTTTTACTTCTTCCTTTCCAATTTGGATGTCTTTTATTTTCTTTTTCTTCCCTGATTGTTCTGGCTAGCACTTCCAATACTATGTTGAATAAAAGTAGTGAGAGTGGGCATCCTTGTCTTTTTCTGATTTTAGAGGAAAAGCATTCAGCTTTTCACCATGGAGTATGTTGTTAGCTGTGGGCTTGCCATATATGGCCTTTATTATGTTGAGGTACATTCCCTCTATATACAGTTTGTTGAGAGTTTTTATCATAAAATGATGTTGAGTTTTGTCAAATGCTTTTTCTGCATCTATTGAGATGATCATATGATTTTTATCCCTCATTTTGTTAACATGATGTATAATAATCATTGATTTGCAGATGTTGGACCATCCTTGCAACCCTGGAATAAATCTCACTTGATCATGGTGTATGATCCTTCTAATGTATTGTTGAATCCAGTTTGCTAACATTTTGTTGAGGATTTTTGCATCTATATTTATCAGGAATATTGGTCTTTAATTTTCTTTTCTTGTGTTGTCCTTGTCTGGTTTTGGTATCAGGGTAATGCTGGCCTCATAAAATGAGTTTGGAAATGTTCCCTCCTCTTCTATTTTTTGGAAGAGTTTGAGAAGGATTGGTATTAATTCTTCTTTGAATGTTTGGTAGAATTCATCAGTGAAGCTATCTAGTCCCGGACTTTTGTCTGTTGGGAGGTTTTTGATTACTGATTCAATCTCCTTATGGGTTATTAATATGTTCAGATGTTCTGTTTCTTCATGATTCAGTCTTGGTAGGTTGTATGTTTCTAGGAATTTATCCATTTGTTCTAGGTTGTTGAATGTGTTGGCATATAATTGTTCATAGTAGTCTCTTATGATCCTTTGTTTTTCTTTGGTATCAGTATTAACATCCTTTTCATTTCTGATTTTATTTATTTGAGTCCTCTCTCTTTTTTTCTTGGTGAGTCTAGCTAAAGGTTTGTCAATCATATGTTGAGGTCTTAACTCCCAGTACCACAGAATGTGACTGTATTTGAATATAGAGGTTTAAGTTGGTAAGTAAGGTATAATGAGGTCATCAGGATGGGTCCTAATCCAGTATGACTGGTGTCCTTATAAGGGGAGATTAGGACACGGACAACAGATAGACAGAGAGACAACCATGTGAGGACACAATGAGAAGGCAGCCACCTTCAAGACAAGGAGAGAGGGCTCAGAAGAAA